AAGCAAAGCCCTGCTGCGCCGCCGCAACGTCACCCGCTTATTTACTTGTTTATGTATATCTTAAAACTCCAGCTTGGGTGTGGTGGTGCGGTGCGGTGGTGGCGCTCTCACTTTTCGTACTGAAGGTTTAGGTTTCGGATCCGCCAACCTTGCGACGTAGCGATGCTGCATTGCTTACAGCTTTCATGCTATACTTTCTAGTTCACAATTTTTAACTGTGATTCCAACATCAAAGAAGACTACATGTTGCATGCTCGTTTCCCCCGCGGCAAGTCACCTCAATTGTCTTCTGCCTCGTAAGAGGAGATTAATGGAAGAAAAGATCAGTTCAAAAAAAATTATATTGATATGGATTGTCTGCTATCTTTTGACCGTAGGACGCTGGAAGAGAAGCTCGCTCTTTCAGACCAGTACTTTGAGGCGTGAATGGTTTCTCTTCACTTGCTCTTTATGGTACGCGTTTGCTCTAGTGGGGCCGGGATGACGCTCTGTACTGAGATGAAGAAGGGAAGGGTTAAGGAGAACAGGTACTTTAGATGCAAAAGGAGGGAGTGCCGCAAAAAAGTGGGTTTCTATAGCAAAAGTCCCTTGTATGAGGGACGCTAAGGCAGCTTTTCTTCCAGGTTTCCCGACTTGAGAGAGAAGCGAAATATTAGGATAAATGTAACGTCAGTGTAAATGCTCAGATACACGCAAAACTCTCTTTTCTATCCTTGACAGGAACAAACCACCAACGTATATTTGACGTGCTGCCTCACTAGCCACTACACCTCACACAACTTGTTCTAGTCACCGCTCCACAAACTATTCTACGTTCTATCGCCTCCTTTGCCTCAGATTGCTGTTCCACGTTACTTAATAACCTATTGTTACAGAAGGTCAAACTTGTCCATAATGTCTCACAATAGTTTATAAATCTGCAACTGGAGAGTGCTCGTTTTTGCTTGTGCTCGTTTTCAGAAAAATGCCATAACAAACGTATTGTTGAAAAGGTGAGAAAGTGGTCATTTACATGCTAAGACTGTTGGTGTGAGAATTTTTTGAATTTTCGAGATTTCTGGTATTGCGGCGGCAAAGTGCAGTAACCTCAAACCATTTCATGGTCTGTCAACAAAGCTTTTTGTGAAGCGCTTTAAGAATTAAAAATAATGAACAATAAGAAAGTTACCAAGAGAACCCAAAGAGGAAGAAAAAGTGAGTCCAAGGTGAAATGAAATTTTTAGGAATGGGCACACTTGACTGCAGTTGCACTTCTACTAACTGGTATAAGAATTGCATTTAAATTTCCCGGCAAACATTTGGCAACAGAAGCGCTTGTTCAACGTATAACTCGTGCAAAGAGGCTCAGAAATATATAGGTCATTCCATGCCCATTTGTACACTTCTTCTTCTTCTTCATGTCTTAAATTTTTTCGAATTTTGCTGTTTAGCAGAGTCTAGGCCAGCATGAAAAATGCCGAAGAAAAAATTTGGTAAAGAGAGCTCTGCCCCAAGTTAAATTCCCAAAAGTTGCAAAACTTTCCAGATTGCTACTCGAAATGTTTCTCTTCGGAGACTTGTAATTCAACTAAACCTCAGTAGAATTTAGAGGGGGAGGGTCAAATTTGTAACATTTCTTCCTTTCAAATGCATACTGAACTTTTTTATTTGGTTACTCAGTTGTATGAATCTAATAAAAAAATTTCCAGACAGATATAAACGAGAAATGTGCTTTTAAATTCCTTAGATAAACATATTTTGAGCAAAACTTTTTGATTTATAACGTGTCACAAATTAGTGATTGGTGATTGGTGATAAGGTTGAAGACTTATGAACCGGAAAAGATTCTGAGATTAAAAAGACCTACTGTTTCTATTGTAATTTTGCTCACTTTACTGTGACAAAGCAGTCCTCAGCTGTATCTGAAAGCTACGAAGAATAATTAGAAAACCTAGGTTTGCTAATCGTTAGTTTTGCTGGAAAACTTGAATTTTATTTTGAAAGATTAAAAAGTTACCATTCTGCAGGGTTTAAAGAAGTAGCCTTTATTCCAATGTTTTCCGCTTCTCACTCTCAGTGTTGTAAATCCCAGATTAATGTTTTTCCTATACTTTTTTTATATTTTTCTGAAATCTTGTTTTTACTGAGTGTTTCAGTTCTCCAGACCGACTAAAAGTAAGAACTTCAGAAAAAACCTTGATCCAGCAAAACAGGGTAAAGCAGTAAGCCCTTAGACTCCTTCACGACACCGAAATGTTTGTTAGCTGCAAAATTTTGCCAGAAAAAAACACGTAAGTGGAAAACGCTGAAATAAACGCCACTTTCTAAAACTGCAGAATAGTAGTTTGTTGATATCTTTTTATGGGCACTCATTGTGGCTCTCAGAAGCGGCTCAAGATGGTTTTGCTACTGCAAATTCCATAAGATTACTGTAAAAATAATAAGTTTTTTCAGTTTTACGTTTCATCCTGGCTCGTAACTCTTAATGCCAAAAAAATGCCATCACCAAATTTCAGTGCTCTGCAGAGCAAAAAATTCTACAAAAGACATATCTTCTTTAAAAAAAACGCACTTTTAATACTTGCTTGAAACCTTGGTTTTATTGTATGTATAAAATTCTTCAGCAGAATTAAATTGTTTTATATGCGTTAAAAGTACAGAACATGACAAACCTAGAAACTAAAAATTGTTTTTTCAACAACAAGCTTGATTACACATATCCATATTAAAAAACTGCTTGTCCAACTTAACGTTTTCAAATTCTGTTCTGTCGCATGTCGCCTTACTAGATCACCTTCTTCAATTGAGAATGAAGTGTAAAGCAAGTAAACTTCAAGAGCTCTTGATATGATTTGCAGTGGTGCTCAAATAACCAAGTTTTTCAAAGCATTACGATATACCACAGTTTAACACAGACCGAGTTGCAGTGAGTAACAGTCACGTACAAAACAGGCATCTTACTTACCTCCTCAAGACAACACTGCTTGGTATCTGATGTAATAAAAGATTTTAGAAGTTTTAAAACTCGCAATATTAGTAACAAATTTCCCTCACGTTCTTTCAGGTAGGTCCAAGCAAGAAGTATGGAAGGCAGCAGTTTTCGACTTTGCCAAAACTGAGCCACATGGTAGTACTAACACACGAACAGCTTGCTGTAATCGGTAAGTTTCAGTCATAAGTAACCAGATTAGTGCTGCCTACAACATCACTAATTCAAAAGTGCAAGGAAAATGGGAATTCTCTGCTTCTCATCGAAGTTCTTTCTTCTAAGGGA